AAAACAAAAAACCCAGCTGTGTAGCAATACAAATGAAAAAAGGAACAGAAGTAACACTTAAAACAAAAAGCTTCTCTGCATTTATGTGGCACTGCACTAATTAATGTAATAATTCAGGGAGGATTTTACAAGACAGCTCTGTAGGGGCTGGACAGGAATACGAGACCCGAGGGCTTAAGCATAAGTTTAAAATCCAACAGCAAATGAGATCACACACCTACGCAAACCACCTAATATACACACAAAGCGCTTATGTTTTAGCACCTCACACAAGTATGATGCCAGGACTCAAAGGATGGCTACTCTTTGCACCAGTGTGAAACATATGTCTCCTAAAAGTACAGTAGCCAACATCCAGAGAAAGACAGCACAACTGTGAAATTACTACTTTCATTTCATATCAGAAAGAATAAAAATAAAAAGATTATATGGTCTGTGACATGGGCAATATTTAAATAACTGAGAAGAAGAAAACAATACTTTCTGGAATTAATAAAGCCTATAAATAAAGAGAAGAAAACAGAAAGAAAAGGCTGTACATAAGATGCAAAGATGAGTATAAATGTACTGGATGGATAGCCTATACAACATTACAAACCACGCAGGTTCTAATTACATTCATTTTTAATATATGGAGCTAGGAAAATAGGATCTACTCTACAAGAGATCTCTTTATAACAGCAAGATTTTCTCCACAAGAGACAGATAAGCGACAGAAAGAGGAGACATTACTATACAGAGGGTAATGGTATGGAATTAATTCATGTAAGGGGATTGCTTCATTAGAAAGCTGGCTTTAATTTTGTACTCCATGACCATTAAAAAAAAATGAAAATGAATTAAAAAGAATACTATTAATAAAAACAAACAAACAAAAACGCAAAGGCTGATGGTTACCATTTGGAGAAATGTTATCAATACCTCTTAAAAACTAAAGAAGACCCACTATTATGAGAAAATAATTTGCTGATTAAAATAGCTTATGATATGCCATTTAGTTTACGAAAAAGCTATTTCTAAAACTTGCTTTATCCGCGTTTTGGCCGCTCCGAAAGATAATGGGAAAACAGCCAAAGTGAGGTGAATGTGTGCATTTAATTACCTTGTTTGAGAATGTTTTTAGGGGCAGCACTACAGCTGTTCTGAAAGCCTCACTGCTCCACTTTACTTGAAAAGCATTGCCACATTCATCCAGGCTACAAGTATTGGTCTCTTAAACATTCTTGACTGAGCTCATACTGTATTTCATTGTTCTTGTAACAGTCACAATAAACTATTCTGTTCTATTGTGACGAAGATGATTTATGTGAAAAAGGAAAAGCCTCTTCTGAGTTGTGATATGTGTAGTTTGTAGCGATTTTAGAGAAAAAGAGGCCTTACTAAGAACAACTTAATGTGCACATGGCTGTCACAGCCGTGTCAAACCTTAATACTCAAACACTGTGGCATTGATGCGCCGGCTACAAACCCCCCGCAAATCTCCTGCCTATGATTGGCGACACTTGTTGACTGTGCATCTTTTATTTTGAAAAGCCACCAAAATCCAAAAATCCAGGCTGCCAGCCTGCCCCCTGATAAACACTCTCAATACATGACTAGCTCTAAGTCCTTTGTTTAGTGCAAAGAAAAACAAAACAAAACAAAACACATTGTCGAATATTGTTTGTTAAGTGTAGGGAGAAAAAAGCCATTTTGACCAGGTTTTATAAGGTGCTGGTGTAGGTAATGTAAAACGTAAAGAAGCGGAAACAAGTTCAAAGTCATCTCTTAAAAAACATAGACAGCTTAAAGTTACAAGCCAGTCAGTTTCTGATGTTTGTGCTGTTACAGGAAACAATGATTCAATCTGTCAACAATACATGACGGTTAACTTCTAGAGAATGACTTCCAACTATTACACTATATTCCTACGCGTCCCTTTGAGGAACAGTCTAAGAACTGAACATTCGAGTAAGTGAAGATAGCTGTGGTCGCGTTACAAAGGCCTGCAATCACACAGGAACAAAGACATTCACATTTCCAAGTACAGAGCCAAAGATGGGCTTCTCCTGATTAATTCATCTGTTCTGATCCACCTACTCTGACCGAGATGACTGGATCAAAACAAACCTAAAGCTTAAATAAGGACTTAAATGCATGATTGTACATAGAAATAAATGCTCTGGGGTGAAATTTGACATAAATCTTCGGCTGTGTCATTTTCATACAGATATCAACAAGTACTATGTGATAGTTTTCAGGCTCTATCAATCTATCCGTGGGCAGTCTTTTCTAGATTACTTCCCTAGTCTGACACACAGCACCAACTGGGTACATTTACTTTGTACCTTCTACTTTTGAATAATGAAATAAAATTATCAGACCAAATATGGGTGACATACTTGATGGCATACTGCTCAACTGAAAAGCAAAGGAGTTATTATTCTATATAGAAAAAAAAAAATGCTGCTTCTTATTGGTGCATAGAATAAAAGGAAAGAAAGCAGGGAAATCTGTGTGTAGGTACAAACACAGTTCAGGAATTTGGTCGTACAGCTCAACACTCAAAACACACATTCTCTCATCAGTCTGAGCAAAACTATGAGGGTGTAAAATTAAAAAAGTTAAAAAATAAATCGCTTAACCACAAACTGAGAAATCACGTTCACCATCAAGCACAGCAAACGTTTAAAACCTATTCTGTCAAGATGCAAGACTCAAACAGCGCCAATTAGATAGATTGCAGGGGTAATTATACAGAAATGGCCAGCAGTGTGATGTTACCATAACACTTAAAACAGGTAACAAGAGGTAGTACACACGGCCATTTCCACACAATTACGCCGGCGTCACGCAAAACGGCCGAGCCTCTCGCTTCAATTGATTATCTATAAAAGTCACACCATTGCTATCAAAAGTGCATCCAAATTTACATGTTGTGAGACCAGCACCGATAAGAACAATATTGACATCATAACAGTAAATATCAAGTACAGAATTTTCAGAATGCCCCACAAACACAGTCAGTCGGATTTCTAGTTGCTTTTACAGGTCATGAGTACAAAGGGAACCATAGAGAGGTCATCAAAGGGAGAGAAAAG